CAGGATGAAAAAAAATTATGGCAGTTTGTCTCATTTTGAATTTTTGACCGTTTGTTTTTACCATTTCTTACCATAATTTGCAAGACAAAACGAGCCAAAATTATGGGAAGTCAGTCATGACAAAAGTTTAAATTTTTAGAATAAACTTTTTATCTTATTTTGACAAAATTTGACATTGAACTATTCCTTTAAGGGGGCTAATAATATTGACCTTAAAATAAAAAAAATTAAAAACTGCTTTTATTCCAGCCAAATTAAAATAAACATTTTCAGAAAAAAAAATATTTTAGGAAATACTACGAAAATGTCCTTGATCCATTAAACATCTCTTGGGAAATATTTAAAAAAAGTTTTACAATTTCACAGGATAACAGTATATTTCTCTCCATGGATTTGTTCAGGGGTATTGTGCACATGTATCCTCAGTTGTGTGTTTGTGTTTGTGAGTTTGTGTGTGTGTGTGTGTAATCCGCTCTGCTCCCGCTGTCACCTCTGCTGTCCTGCAGTAACTCTGTCTGCTTCCTCAAAGTCAGTAAAGACCACCTGAGCTTCTCCGTGTTTGTCCACACACGTGTCCACGGCGAGGAGTGTGTGTTTGAGCCGACGGTCCAGGGCCTGCAGGTGCTCCTCCGTCAGCACTGGACTCAGAGCGTCCCGTGACAGAGACTCCCTCATCACGTCACTCAGCAGGTACTCAGAGCTCGACAGCAGCTTCAGTCGGAACAGAGTCGAGCGCTTGATCCTGGACGAACACATTATTACTCCATCTGCAGATCTTTCAGAAGTGTAAACACGTGTAGAATAAGGATATTTTAGTATCTTATTAGAGGTTGCTTACATGCAGCATTGGGTCAGCGGTGCGAGAATGGACAGCTCATCATGGGAATGGCGTCCAAATCTGCAGAATATTTGATGAAGGAAAAAAAACAGGGGAAAATATGTCTGATGTTTTTGTCTCATCATTGTATCTCAGTCATGATTATGAATTTGACAGTTTTGACTTGGCATTAAGTTCAACTTTCATCTCATTTGGACAAAAGTTTATATTTTGAAATCATGGGTCAAAATTATGGCAAGTCAATCATGACAAAAATGTAAAAAAAAAGGGAAAATATGTCGTTTTTTTTTGTCTAATTATTGTAAGTTTGTCATAAATATGAATTTGACAGTTTTGACTTGCCAGAAAGTTTAACTTTCATCTCATTTGGACAAAAAATTACGTTTTAATATCATGGGTCAAAATTATGGCAAGTCAATTGTGACAAAAGTTCAACAAAAAAAAAGAAAAGGAAAATATTTCATGTTATGTTTTTGTCTAATTATTGTAACTGTCATAATTATGAATTTGACAGTTTTGACTTCCCATAAAGATCACCTTTCATGTAATTTGGACAAAAGTTTACGTTTTAAAATCATGGGTCAAAATTATGGTAAGCCAATCAAGACAAAAGTTGTTGTTTTTTTTAAAAGGTGAAAATATGTATTTTTTTGTCTAATTATTGTAACTTTGTCATTATTATGAATTTGACAGTTTTGACTTGGCATTAAGTTCAACTTTCATCTCATTTGGACAAAAATTTATGTTTTAAAATCCAAATTATGGCAAGCCAATTATGACAAAAGTTTTTAAAAAAGGAAGGAAAAATGTGTCATGTTATGTTTTTGTTAATCGTTGTAATTTTTAATGTCATATTTATGAATTTTGGACCGTTTTGACTTTTTACAACTTTAATTATGAATTTGACACTTTTGACTTGCCATAAATACAAATTACTTGTAGTTGTCACTTTTTTGTACATAATTTTGTCATTTTTTTCTTGTTTTCTTGTTTGTTTTTCTCTAATCATTGTAACTTTTTCACATCATTCACATCATATCATAATTATGAATTTTTGACAGTTTTGACTTGCCATAAAGAGGTCCAGATTTTTTACTTAAACAATTTTGACTTTTTGATGACTGTGATTATGGATCACAAGTTTTGGTCTTAAAGATTAATTTTAATTCTTGATTTTACTAAAATTCAGCTTATCATATCTGAATTTCATCTTATTTATGAACATAATTTGACTTTTTCTGGTATAACTGTGACATTATTCTGTGTAATTTTGTATAGTTTTGTATTTTATCACAAAAAATGACAACACATTTTGCATTTATCATTCTACAAAGCATAAAATACAAGGTCTAGGGACACTTTTTAGGGACACAAGGTCTAGGGAAACTTTAGTGCTCAGAAAAACAATAGAAAAGTAGTGCAATTTCGTTTATAAACCCACATGTACAGTAAAAGAAGTGTACAGTAGAGATGTGCACATACCCTCTGGCATTGTCTAGGTGGAGCAGGAAACCTTCATCTCCAAACTTTGTGAAAATTTCATAATGGTGCCTGTCCATGTTTCCTAAAACATGAAGAAAAATCACATGTTCTCTGGCTTTAAGATTCTCATTGATAGCAATGAAAATGAAACCACACTGAACTGAACTAAACCGATCTTCAACTCTGAAAACTGGACTGACAGTTTCAATTTACTAGAACTTCTATATTAAGCTGCTTTGACACAATCTACATTGTAAAAGCGCTATAGTAATAAAGATGAATTGAATTGACCCTTTACTAAGCCACACTCGAAGACCGCCACCCACCAATCGTGGCTTAGCAACAACAGCTACGCGCAGAAGCTCAGTCAAGCTTTCGAGTGAGGGAAACAGGCCAAAGCATTGTGCATATGGATTGTACAAATCTGATACCCGGTATCCTAAAAGTTTGGACAGTGTGGTGGAATTTTTTTTCCCTTTCCAAAACCAAAAACCCAGGAGGAGAAATGCCACCGTGGATCAAGCTGTGTGAGGGGAGCTAAAGGAGCGGAGCTAAGTTGCTATTATTTTTGATATTCTGTGATATCACATTCAGTGATAGACGGCGATAACTCACACACCTCTGACCCTAAACACATCTAAACTGTATTTCCTACAAAAATATAAAGCAGGTTGTTTCCCTGCTGTCTTTTTCTCTTTTTTCACTCGATATTATGAGCACTGCTCTGTTTACTAAGCCTTCGCCATAGTAGTCATACTAATAGCAGTCATATTTCCATCTGTTTCAAGCTACAAATATTTGAAATTACATATCAGCAGAACAAAACAGAGATGTGATCACAAACTGAGCACTTGTGATCAATATACTTCACCCGCAGCTGTTTTTCAGTCATTTATATCCTTCATGTCCATGTCAGAGCTACTGTACATATCACTGATGTTTTCGGCAGTCTTTTGGAGATTTAGTCATTGGTGACGATGTTATAGCAGGTTAAGGCTTCTACACACCGGGATGCTTTTTGTTTGCGTTTATCGTCAGCGTTTTACGAGACGTTTTTCAGTGTTCAAACCCAAGCGCTTTTCACTGGCGTCAAGCAGACGAGTATGCTAAATCACTCTTTTGACGTTAAATGGCGCTGCACAACTATAAGCTTCTGACATCCACTTATAACACAGAAGAAGAGGAGAGGAAGTTCACAGTTCACACGCATGTTGTTAAATTTACTGGTGACTCGAACAAGCATGGATGAAGAAATTATTATTGTTTACCCGTGCAATAAGCAGCTCCACGTTCATATCGGCTTTGGGCATCTTCTTCAGTGTGCGCTCGCATTGACAGTTTTGTGCTTGAGCGCCTCCAAGTGCTGTTTACTGTAACTTCAGCAGCTCCGTGCACGTGAACAAAGGTGGCGATCTGATTGGTGGAGAAGGTTTTGACGTCACGTGTCAAAACAAAAAAACGAGCATGAGGCGTTTTTTAAAAAATGACGCTTTTGCGCCTGGCGTTTTGCGCGTTGGTGTGCACGATCACATTGACGCCCTTTATTTAGTTACGAGGCGTTAAACGTAGACGGAAAACGCGAGCAAAAAACGTCTCGGTGTGCACGGGCCTTTAGTGTCTGCTTTTATATTTGGTGTCTGATTAATATTTGCTGGTAGGGAAAATCTGTCTGTTCACTTCTGCTATTTATACTTTGATTTGCATTTCAATTTATTTATTTATTCCACTCAACTGCAAATCAGAATAGAAACTGTATAAAGAGCACACAGACATGCTGACAGTTATAGCTACTGTACATTATAGGTCAATGATGCTAATATTCGGCACAAATCCATCAATTTCCCCTTTCTGGCTGCTCTTTCTATGAATGAATTATGTAGAAGCAGTGTTCATGCGTGTTTCCTCATCCGTTAGTAACGCTACATTTAATTGCACAACAATAGTTTATCAGGCTTTTTGGCTAAAAAAAGAGAAATCACAGTTCAATTAGTTATTATTAGGTTATATTTAAATTTCACCTCTCCTGCTAAGTATGAACTGAGCTGTTGAAGGTTCAGCGTATGAGGTGGCTAGGCTAAGCTAGCTTCAATTTTGATAAAAATTTTTCTAATCAATTCAAGTCAGCTTTATTTGTATAGCGCTTTTAGATTGTAGATTGTGTCAAAGCAGCTTCACATAAATGGTCATAGCAACTGGATCAGGGTAGTTCAGTTTTTAGTGTTTAAGTTCAGTTCAGTTTAGCTCAGTTCGGTGTGGTTTAAGGTCATTACTGAGAGTCCAAACACTGAAGAGCAAATTCATCAATGCGTAGCTTTACAGATCCTGAACCATGCAAGCCAGTGGCGACAGCGGAGAGGGAAAAAAAACTTCACCGATAGGAGAGTGAAGAAAAAAAACCTTGAGAGAACCAGACTAATTTAATTTCTCGGCTGGCCAAAAGTCTTGAGCAGAGCTGCTCGTTGGCTATTATGTTGTGAATATACCCCTGTCATGCATACTGCAGTCTTTTTTTGTCTGGCTTTCTCGGATATCTCACCTGTTCGCCAAAAATGACTAATTATATCCCTGGCAATGTCTGACACCGGTGCATACATACTGTAATAGACGTGCAACGCACGAAAGCTTGACAGGCGTAGCAACAGTAACTAAGGAGGGCGGGGCTTAGCGAAGGGTCAATTGAATCTGCTAAATGACTAAATGTCAAGTGAATGTTTAGTCTACATGCCTGTGAGGAAGTCAAAAACTGCCATGTCGATCATATTGAGCAGTCTGTTTCCAGAGTTGTAGGGATAATGCTTCCTGACCGTGTCGCAGTATGAAGGATTGACCTCCCACCTGAGCAGAAAAAAAAGACAGAAACATTAATGCTTTCAAGCTGTTGGACTCGTCTGAACATTACTGAACTTTACACCCTTTGCTGAGTGTGACGCACATGGATCTCTCAAAAATCCTAATAAGGAGGTTGGACACTGGATAAAACAGCTAACGCGGATTGTGCTGGAACATGGCTTTATTTTCTTTGCAAATCAAGTTAAACTCAGTCTAAATCAACCCTTTCTGCTTGTGTAAGACACATTCCTGTCCTTATTAAACACGATCCGTCAGTTCAAGATGAGAGTAGAAGCGTTCTGTGATGAATTGTGTGTCGTCCGTATCTGCAGCATATCATCAGACAAAAGTGAATAAATAAATAAATAAATAAAAATAATAATTGACATTTTTTATCATTGTAACTCTTTATATCAATGATATAATATTGATATTTGATAATACAACATGTTATTTAACTATTTAAATCATAATTTTCAATTTTGACAATATTATTATGGCCGTATATATTTTAATTTTGCTTGTTTTTTTTTGTCATTTTATACAATATTTATTACAGCAATGATTAAATGTATCTCAATTAAGGCTTTTCAAAACATTGCTGTTTTGTTATACATTTAAAACAATTTCAAGTTTGTCCCATAAGGATATGAAATAAA